TTCCCTCCTTTTCCAAAACCCGAAAATTTTCGAAACACCTTTTTCAGCCTTTCCCTCCTTCCAACCGACAGCTTCAACTTCCCGAAACCCCCAAAAATATTTTAAAAGCAAAATTCTCAAAACCCAAATCCCCATTTCCCTCCTAATTCGTGGAGCCAACCCCAAATTCCAATTTCAGATACAAATTTCAGTTCGCTGAAAAGCCCATTTCTTGAGTCTCCAAGAGCTTCAGTGGAAAATTCATCTCTCAGAAGCCAACCTTTTGCCTCCAGACTCACTTCTCACAAAGACCTAAGTGGGAAATTCAGTCTCTCCAGCTTTAATGCCTGCTCTTGCAGAAACCCTAGATGGGTCTTCGCCATTTTCGCAAAAGGAAGCCGTAGATGACCATGCTTTGGTGTCTATCGCAGAAAATGCAAATGGGTCGTCGCCATCTTCACCTCTCAAAGCCCTAGACGATATGTCTTCGGATTCTTCTTTGCCAAACCCAACTGGGTCTTCACCATCTGTTGAAGAAGGCCAAGAAGATGAACCATCACCACCTTCGCCTCTCAAAATTGTTGGTAACGATTTATCAAATTATGAATCTGATCCACATTCGGAGTTCTCAGGACCATCGCGGTGGTCGTCTTCCGCACCTTCTTGGTCTTCTCGGTGGTCGTCGAATTCTACCAAGGAATCAGTGATTTCCTCGGATTCCCAGTTTTCAATATGTGAAACAAAGCCCTCTATGGTGGTATGCTCCTTTGCTTTGAACCTATTTGAAACTTTGTATTTATTTTACCATTAAAAATTATAATTATTATTCATTTTGCGTTTAATTTTAGTCTAAGTAATTTTGGGATGTTAAGTTTTGTTGTCGTTTTGGTGTTGCAGGGTGCAGGGCTTGCAAATCTAGGCAACACATGCTTTATGAATGCAATTCTGCAATGCTTCACGCACACTGTGCCACTCGTGGAGGGTCTTCGTTCTTGCAATCATTCCATGCCCTGTGATCGTAAGGCCTTGGTTTCTATTGCGTTTGCTTTATGTTCTTATCTGATATTTTTCTTAATTGTTGGAAGCTTTATGCAGCTAGTTAGTTTTGCTGATTTCTTAATAAATGTACTAATTTAAAATCTGAAATTGGGATTATGTAGGTGGTAGTGAAGGATTCTGCGTTCTTTGTGCTCTTCACGACCATGTTGATCTTTCAGTAGCTTCTTCAGGAAGAGTTATTTCACCATGGAAACTTGTCAACAATTTGAATCGTATCCTTTTGATCATACGTATTGAGATTTCTGTGCATAAAATTGTGATTGTGATTTTTCTTTTCTTTCTTTTGAATGAAACAAAGAGAGTAACTTATGAAGCCCCCTACAAGTCATTGATTTTGATTGGGCAGTTACACTAATTTTTGTTGTGAAATATGTAATTCTACCTGAAGCTTTGAAAATTCTGTAGTTTTACCTTGAGAAGTTTACATCCGAATGTGATTCTTAACCCTAATGCCACTAGATTTCTCATCTTTCTTCCAAAGATACCAGCAAGAAGATGCCCATGAGTTCTTGCAATGCTTCTTAGACAAACTTGAGAAATCTTGTTTGGATTCGTTGGAAAAGGAGAGTCTATCTGCCCAAGATCAAAACCTTGTGGAAAGGGTTTTTGGTGGTCGTCTCCTAAGCAAAGTATGACTCCATATCTGATTGCCATGATTCATTCTGCTATGGTTAAATTTGATGGAAAATCAAAATTTTATTATAATTCTTATTGATTTTTGTATGTATGAATTACTTTCAGCTTCGTTGTTGCAATTGCGGTCACTGTTCTGACACTTACGAACCTCTGATTGATCTGAGTTTGGAGATTGAAGATGCAGTGACTCTCCCAAGGGCCCTGGAGTCCTTCACTAAGATAGAAACTATCAATGACTTGGAGACAAAGTTTACATGTGAGAACTGCAAGGAAGAAGTGTCAGTGGAGAAGCAGCTTGTGGTGGACCAGGCTCCTCTAGTTGCTGCATTTCATCTGAAGAGATTTAAGACTGATGGATCTCATGTTGAGAAGATTGAAAAACATGTAGAATTTCCTTTGGAGTTGGACTTGAAGCCCTACACCAGTGGAAGTGACAATAATGTGAGTTGCTGCTTATTAATATTATTATTATTATTATTATTTTTTTATGCAGAATATGTTGATTTTCCTTCGGATTTGGACTATTAGTCAACCAGTGGGACCAACAGTAATGTGATTGCTGCCTTTAGTTTCTTCATAATCAAATTGGTATCAGTTATAACTTATAAGAAATGCAAGGTTTTTTTAACACATGATAATGGTTAAATGATCTAAAAATAAAGGTTAGCTTTATGTCATGTTTGTGTTTTAGCTATGTTTAAATGGCTGTTGTTTCTCAAGCCCTTGGGGGTTATCTGTAAATGGTGGGGTAATGGGTTAGGATTAGGGTAGATCCAAGATTCGATTCCCTCCAATTTTAACCAAGAAAAAGAAAACTGGTGTGGTCTCTCTAGTTCTAATTTCCTGTTTCTTGGCAATAGGTGGAATTGAAGTATGAACTTTATGCAATTGTGGAGCATGTTGGGTTCTCATCTACTTCTGGACATTACTTTTGCTTCATTCGGTCATCTCCAGATACATGGCATAGGTTGGATGACTCAAAGGTAATTATTTTCTTTATACATTCTGTAATAAACAATTCATTGTAACTGTTTTACCTGCATGACTTTGTAATTCTTGTGAAGCTGGTGTGTGGAAGTGATTGTCTTGCCATTCATGGCTTCTTTCATTTGTTTATGTATAAACTATCTTTATGATATGATCTTTGTTCTTGTTGTATGTTTACATACAGTAAACGGTAATGATGATCTATGGTAGTTGGATTGTTTCCATCAGGTTTTACCCTCAAATATAGTAGTATTAAGATTAACACTAAAAGTTCCACTGTTATTTTTGTAGGTCACTAGGGTTCAAGAAGAGTTTGTTCTGTCACAGGAGGCCTACATTCTGTTCTATGCAAGGCAGGGTACTCCTTGGTTTTCTAGCATAGTGGAATCACTAAAGCCGTGCTTGGATCCAGCTATGACGAATACATCACCCAAATCGGTCCTAGAGAATGTCGAGAGTGTCAGCATTTTATCTCCTAGTGTAAACAATGTTGATTGTTGTGTTGCCAATGAACCCGGAGATGCTCATGAGAGAATTACTCTTTCGTTGCCTCGAGCAAGATGTGAAGAGGTTGAGGTCATTGACACTAGAGATGCAGCCGATGGTTGTTCCAAGGAGACTAAAGATAGTGCTGCTGTGATTGATGCTTCAACTCCAGGGAGGGCAAGTAACTCCTTTGATGGAAAATCACACAACAATGAGAATATATGTAGTACATCGTCTCTTGGTGGAAATAGGTGCCATAAAAGGTCTCCTAAAGTTTATCTCCATCCTATGACACCACCCAGATCTCCTAGTCCTGATCTGCCTTCTTTTGAGTCTCCAGGTAAGCAAATACACTCTGATCAAAAGATTTTATTACCTTTCCCTTTAACTTTATGAATGCAACTAACTTAATGAGGTGGAATTAATTTTTCAGAACCAATTTATTGTCTTCCACGCGATCATTCGAAGTCAGTGGACAGTGTTGCCTGCAAAAGATCATTGAACAATATTGTTCGAAGTGATCATTTGAAGTCAGCAGACAATGCGCTCTGTAAAAGACCTTCCAACAATGATGTGGATGATTCAAAGAGAATTGAAGCTTTCAGATATCTTTCAAAAAAGAGTTTGACAAGGGACAGGGGAAGCCAACTTCTTGCTGCCATGGTCAGGCCTCAAAGTGAAGGTTCTTCGAACAAGAGAAGGAAGAGAGTGGGATCATCACCATGCAAAAAGGTCAGCCCTCCTGGTGGTAGTCATAAATCTATGCGTCCTGTGGCGGCGGCATTACGGTGAGCTGTTCCAGGCTTCTGCTCGCTAAAGCTTTCTCCAGCTCAGCCGCAAATGTAAAAGATGAGTTTGTTCAAATATTTCATTTGAACAGAAAAATAGAATAGGAGTTTGTTCATATATTTTATCTGGCATCTTTTTGTTTCTTTTGCCAAAATTTTATCTGGTTTCTTGTGGAATGAATTACTGTTTCATTTGCGACAACCTCTTTTTGAGTATATATGGTTTTGCTTGCACGAGTGACCTTGCAACATTTTCTGTTATCAGTTCCATACTGGGAAGAATTGCAGGAAATCGTTCGATAACACTTATTATTTCTCAATGATAACCGATGATTAAGACAATTCTTGCGAAATTCTTTCATTGCATTGAAGTTTATTCTTATTCTTACAAAGCAAATAACATTTCCTATTGATTTGCCCCCTAGACTGGACCTATTTAGATTCTGAATTATCGGTTGCTATGCCGTACCCAAGCACTAGCAAAATCAAAATAGCGAAATTCTTGGGTCACATGAATAGAAAGCTAGCAATCCAATTTTCTTTTGTTTTATTCAGTGAAAGGATTTCCTTAAAAGGGCCAAAAGCTATCTATCAAATAAACAATTATATTGACCTTTAATTTCATCAATTTACCAACTAATGACAAGTTTCATATAGGGTTTCAAACAACTAGAAATCAATCAATCAAAATATTGCAGGACCTAGTCCACACTCTTGCTACTTATCCACCTGCAGACTTGATCCCCTCATCTTCTCAATGATGGCACGAAACTAAGCCATGTTTATCAATAGCTTTGAGGCAGAAGTTCACCAACCACTTTTTTCCAAGTCATAATGTGAATATGATAGAAGGTTTGGAGAATTGAATATATTCAAACGGAACCTAAGTGTATGGAAGAGATATAGATTCAAACGCATAGAAATCTCACAAGAACTCTCAAAGAATAAGAGGGATGACATAAGTAACATGTATGGAACTAACCACTTACCTTTCCTAAAGGAAATTGTGACTTGGATAGCCATTGAAACTTTGACATCGTTATAAGATAACGATACCGCTTGCCTCCTTCCCTAGGGCTTGCAAATCACGGTTTGACACATGTACAAAAATAATTCATCAAGAACACTGCAAACACGAAATCCTGCGACAAATTAGACAAGAACACGAGTCTCACATCGGAAATTTAACAAAATAGAAAGTTCCATTTAATAAATGGTTCCACTCTTAATAACATTGAGGCCTTTTGAATAAACCCTATACCTGCTAAACAGGTGGTGAAGTTGGGGATAATATCGATGTTGCTAATGATGGGCTAAGGATCTGTCCATCTGAAGTCTTAACATGGTATCAGAGTGGGTCAGTTGACTGGACCCGATTAAACCCAAATCAAACAAACTCAAATCAAACAAAAACCCCAAAATTGAACCAAAATCAAACAAAGTGAGGTGAAGAATGCATAGAGTTTTTTGATTCTTCTGAGTGCTTGGTGTGTTTAAGCTTCTGTGCTGTTCAAGGGTGCCAAGCACTTGATCTTGAATCGGAATTTGAGAATTCTTCGAGGGATGTCAAGAATTAATCTCGAGCACATGAGGACCACGAGTGGTGTCACGTGGTGGATAGTTTTCGGCTTTTAGCGGTGAAGAATCGACACGTGTTTGTTGTGCTTAGTGATTCTCCAGAGCTTGATGAAGAACTTGAGAGACTAGGTGTTGCTTCGGGCAAAGAGTTTTCTGGTTTCACAAAATGTGTGTCTCCTCTTTTGAAGGTCCTTTCTCATGAATGCGAGCCTAGTATTTATAGGAAAAGAATTGGGTCTTGGTTTGGAATCCCTAATATGAATCCCTTGATTTGTGGGATTGATTTCTGATTTGATTTAATTTGAGCTAATTGATTTCATTTAGCTGTTAATTAAGTCAAAATCTTTCATTTAGGGAAATTAACTCGTGATTTAGGAAGATGACCAAATAAGGATAATTTATTCCTTTTTGGCATATGATTTCATTTGATTGATGAAGCTCTCAGATGTTGACATGTGTCATCTCCGGTGCACACCTTTGTTTGCGTGAGTCATGCGCCACGTGTATTTGTGTGGGACCCATAAATTTCTAGTTATCTTTGAATAGTCAAATTTTGAATTTTGACTATTGACTGTAAATTAGTGAATTTTTAATTCACTAAAATTTCCACGTCTACAAACACACAAAAAAAAAAAAGAAACCTTCTACACACATCATATTGCTATTGGCAGAAATGTAGGAGTTTCTACTTGTAAGGGAAGGAGGGAAGTATTTTCCATAAGGTAATTCTGGAACGGCACGCTGAACTCAACACTTACCATTATTGGACTCCAAACCACTTTAATGCTTACACAAAGGTTTTGGTCTTAGAGAATGTCAACGTAACTAATTTTGCAATTGCAGTATTGTACTAGCACTCTTATTATTGTTGTTTAAAGAAGGTCAAACAATAACTGGGCTTGACGTTACTTCTTTTGGAGTAATGTTGCAATTTGGATAAGAAAAGAAAACTGTTGGTGCTTTGGCCAACCAATGAAAGCTGTCATCTGTATCCAACATAAAATCCACAAAGGAGAAGATACATGCGTGTGCTCGAAACATGAAAATGAACAGGACAAAGACTTTGACATGATCACTATAATAATTGTTGGTGAGCCTACAACTTCCTAGTAACAATTGGCCTCGGCTCATTAATTAGTCAAATAGGTTAGAGGTTGGAGATAAGATTTAGGAATGAACATCTTATATTAATCTAGGGAAAACCAAAATTTGTGAAATCCTATACTCCTAGGCATGACTGTACACTCCTTGGTTTCATCAAGCCCTGAGCTTAGTTTTTCCCTCATGACAAAGATGGCATTTATTTAAGGAATGTTGAGCCCTTGTAACAATTCCGATTTCGGTTCTTGATCAATTTTTTTCTTCTTCTCTCTATGTTGAAGATTGGCACAAGAACTAAGCCGGCTTAGTAAAGTTTTAAAAAAATTGTTCACTTTTATATAATATGGTTGTTTTCTTCAAAAGAGGAGGGAAGAAGCAGAAAATAATGCGACAATCAATTGTCAGCTGGAACAACAGAGCACTGGCAACCTATCGTATGTCGAACGGGTTTCCAGAGTCGATGAACATTACGAAACATGTGCTCATCGTCATGGATGGGATGAAAGAGTTCACGACGGAGCCGCTTGAATGGGCCCTTGAGAATGTAATCAACGCTGGCTCTACTGTCACTCTTCTTGGTGTCATGCCATGGCTTAATATTCCCCGTGAGTACTGTGATTCTAGTCTCCTCAATCCGTTAATCTTTAGTATATGCATATATGAGTTATCTAAATGCATAGCAATCTTGAGCTTTTAATTCTAGTTGAGTACGTAATAAAACAAGCCTGCACCACAAAAATCGCATAACATTATATAGTGGAAGAAAATCGAACCATTGACCTAACCTAATCCTAACTCATTTCGCTGCTCACCCTCTCTGGTACTTCTGCTAACCCAAGAGCTTAAGGATTGGATTTTTAATTAGACCACATAGTGTAGGTGTTAATGTGTTAATTTACAATTGATTATTCAATATTTCATGGAATTACACACATATAGTATGGTCATAAAAAGACCCAAGTTCTTTAGAAATTTCCTTGATTTTATTTACATGTCACGCTTCTAAAGCTGGCTATTTACTTTAATCCAAACAAGGTTTTGCTTCGTATATAAAATGGACTACTTGGGTGGTGAATGTAAATGTGCAGTCTCTTCCAAGACATGGCTGGATGTTTGGCCGGTGGGACTAGAAGAATTGTCATTTGTCAAAGAGAAAAATGAGTGGAAAAGCGATCTCAAATATCTAAAGCTTCAGAAAGTGGTGGACCTTTGCAACAAATATGGGGTACAGTTAACGAT